CCGTCCGACCTGGTCCGGAAGCGACGAGCCCGCCTCCCGCATGGCGGCCACTCGCCGGTGCAGCGCCGCGGACTGGTCCACCAGGGACTCCGCGGCCGCGTCGTGCTCCCGCAGCCTCTCCAGGAGCGTCTTGGCGTCCGTCAGGATCTTCTCGATGGTGCAGCTCATCGCGCCGAGCCCGGCAGCCCGGCCCCGCTCGCCGACGTCAGACCTCCGCACCCGGGCTCAGCTCTCCACGCGTCACTTCCTGGACGCTTCGAAAGGCGCTTCCGCAGTCGGGGTTGCGCGTGCGCAGAGGCGGCCTCCCTTCCCTGGGCGACCCCAGGACACGCGCTGCGCCTAGATGGGAGGGTTGGTTGAGGGGCCTGTTCAGGCACAGGGCTTAGTTTTTTAGGATGTGTGCAGGTGCAGCCTTGGATGTTTTGGTCAAGGCTACAGTTCTACCGCTTGAGCTACATCTCCACTTCCGGCTTTACGCTGGTTCATTGAAGATGAATCTCCTGGATGTTCCTGCCTGGGCTGGCTTCCAACTGCTACCCTCTGAGCCCAGCCTCCCGAGTAGCTGGGATGAGAGGGGCAAGTCATTGATGCCCAGCTCACAGCGTACTTTAATAGTAGATTCTCAGCATACATTCCCTACCCCAAACCTGTTGTCCTGACCATGATATGGGTCGTCTACTACTAAAGGAATGCAAAGATAATTTTTTTTTGGGGGGGTCGGTTGTGGAGCTTGAACTAAACATTTCCTTTTAGGTAGGAAATCACACTTATATACCTAAGGACTGACTCATACTCTATTATCCCAGGCAAGAAACCAGGTGTGTGTGGACATGCTTGATGCAGGTAGGACAATCTGACCAAAGCCTGGTTGGAAACATTCCACTGTGGGCCTAACTGAAAATCCCCACCTCCTTCAGCCCTAATAGTCTTTAGATAACCTTTGTTTCCTTGCTCAAACTCCATAAAAGCTTAACTCCAACCCTACCTCCTTGCACAACCTTCATCCCCTGAAGGTTGCTGCCCCTTGCTGCTGTGTCTCCATAAACAGTCCTGGCCTGTTGAGAATCGAGTCCACCCTGTTCTTTCTCCTCCAGTTTCTTAACATATATAAGTAATGATATGCAGGACAGAATGTGATGAGAGCTGGGAAGGTGGGTGCTGGCGGCTCGCATCTGTAATCTCAACTGCTCAGAGGATGAGATCTGTGGAGTAAGGTTCAAAGCCTGCTTGAGCAGGAAAGTCCCTGAGACTCTTATCATCTTCAATTAACCACCAAATATCTGGAAATAGAACTGTGGCTCAAGTGTACAAAAACTCAGGGACAGTGCCCAGGCCCTGAGTTCAAGTCCCTGCTCTTGCAAGGTTTTTCTGCTAGCACTCTACCACTAGAGCCACAGCTCCACTTCCAGCTTTTTGGTGTTTAAGTGGAGATAAGAGTCTCAGGGACTTAAATCTTGGGTTGGCTTCAAACCCAGTCCTGGGATGCAGCCTTTTGAGCTGCCATGGTTACAGGTGTGTCCTTGGGGGCCTGTTCTAGGTGTCCTGCGGTGGTCTGGGGCCCAGTCCTCTCCCTATTGCTCCTTTCTCTGCTTCCTGGCTGCCAGGGCAGGAGCGCCTCCACTCCCCACCATGACAGATGGATATGTCACCAGTCTAGCTAACTCTTCCCCTGAGGCTGTCTTCAGTCCTGCGGGCACAGAGATAGAGCCAGCTAATGGCACTTTCGTTCCATTCCACACAGGTGGTGACGCCTTTAGATGATTACATGGCGCCCAGTGCTCTGCGCACACGCACACATTCTTTCTGGGACTGGAGCCAGGGGTGTCTGACCCGTCCCTGCGCTCAACCCACCAGTGTGCTCCGTGTCTCGCCCGCCTGGCCCGCCGTGCGCGTCCACGCCTGCCCGCCGTGCGCGTCCACGCCTCGCCCGCTCGGCACACAGTGTGCATCCGGGGCCGCCTGCAGAACGTTGGTCAGCCTGGGGGGTGTGGGGAGGGTGTATAATGCGAGAGTATCGCGAGACGTCGCGGTCTCGCAGGGGCTGGCCCGGACCCAGCCGTTATTTTTGAGGCTAACCGTCGCGCTGCCGGCCGCCCTCAGCTCCTGGGATCGCCGTTCGTTCCCCGCCCTTTCCGAGGCCTGTGGCAGGCCAAGGCTCGCGCGGGCCTCCCATGTCCCGGTAGTGGGCAGCCCGCGCGGGCCCTGCGCCGTGCTTCCCGCTGGTTCTTCGAAGGTGAGGGCAGACATCCAAGTTCCTTTTCCTAAGATGGAACCCTGAGCGGGGCTGCGGGACTGGGAGGGAGGGCGGCACGAGGGCAGCACGAGGACG